GGTGCTCCACTGTTACCGTCCCGGAGTGCCGCACGTGCTTTTTTCATTTTGTAGCACGACAAAAACTGATGCCCTGCTGCGCCGCAAAATTCGCATTTTGTCGGCTGCTGCTTCGCGTCGTATTTGTCGATATCCATCGGTTCGGCGAACGTGGGGGGTGCCGATCGCTCCGTGCCGAATGTACGGTTCGGCGTGAAGCGTCGTGTTTCGGGTTGACCTCGAGTCAGCGCGTCGTATCACTCGGCAGCACGCACGATGTCCCTGTAGCTGTCGTAATTCGCCGCAATCACCAGCCGCCGAATCTCCATTTTTTACCCTTCTGTGTACGCCTGGATTTTTTCGCCTTCGGTCAGGTCGGTGATGCGGTTGAACAGTAACTCCATCTGCTGCATGTACTGTGCTACACTACTGTATTGCTTGTGTCGGTGTATCTGCTGCCGCGCCATGTAGGTCGTATTAATCGGTTCGAAACGCTCGATTAAATCTGCCCGAAACTGCTGCCATGTTTTCTCCCCACGGGCTACGTCACTGTAGTAGATCCATTCGAGTGCCGGTCCACGTAACAGCGTTGCTGCGAGCCGAATCCTTGTTGCGTCGTGTTGCGGGGTCGAACAGCCAATGGCCTCGAAGTAAATTTCGAGGGTGGCCACAAATCGCCTGACGTCGGATCCCTTCGCGCTTGGATCGAACGCCTCAGGGAGCCTCGGTCGTGCTGCTTCAAGGTTCGGCGACAGTGGTGCCATTGGTCCGTGAAATGTCGGTGTCGCCACTGCTGCTGGAGTTGTCGGTGCTGCAGTCGCTGCGGTCGCTGCTGCTGCGGTGGCGAACCCTGGTTGGCTTGTCAGAAAAGCCTCGAGTCGACGAAGCGTCGCCTGCGTCTGCTCCATGTCGGTGCGGAGGCTCGCGATGTCGCTCGTGGTCGCGTAGTTGTCGCCTTGGCCCTCCATGCCTGACATCAACGCGTCCGAAAAACCGAATCGAGGGGGAGCGAAAAACACGGAACCGGTTTTACGTACCCGAAATCGATGTTTAACTGCGTCGCCCCCGCGGTTTTTGAAGACTGGTCTTTTAGCGGTCGAAAAAACTTCGTGTGTAAACGGGCTCTGATTACCAAGTGTGAGGATCTAGGATCGAGCTCAGAAAAGATGATTTGAATTGAATGATCACCTGGGTACAACACGAGGCTATATATAGGCTCGACACAAGGCCCCGTAACCAGGTGTTACGCGAAGGTTCCGCGGGTCGCGAAGCGTCCCGAACAGATCCTTCCCGAATTCGGTAGAAGGCAATTCGGTGGCAACCAAAAAGCCAGAATTCGGTGCACGCAACCTAGCTCGGTGCTATAACTATAATAAAATATAGGAAAGCACCTAGCCTAGGAAATCACGCAATTCATGCGTGCATATAATTATCCTATGCTAGAAATAGCATGATAAAGTATAGGCAAGCAAGCATAGCTGGCATAAGCCGTCGTACTCTCACACTAGAGGTGCTGCTGGTGCTGGAGGCCGTGGAGCTGCTGGTGCTGGAGGTGCTGGAGGTGCTACTGGTGCTAGAGGTGCTAGGGGTACTGGAGCTGCTAGTGCTTCTGGTGCTGGAGGTGCTAGAGGTGCTGGAGCTGCTGGGGCTGGAGGTGCTGGAGGTGCTGGAGGTCCTGGTGGAGCTATTGGTGCCCTTCGCCACCTTCTCAGTCTTCAGCCAGGTGCTGCTGGCTTCCCTGTGGCAGGTACTACTCTTCCGTTGATGTGTCCACTGGAGGACCATACACAGCCGCCACTGCTACCACACTCCCCACTGCCTGCTCCTGCTCCTTCAACTGCGGTTTCAGAGTCCCTGACTGAGCGTCGAGAGCCTGAGACTCGTGCTTCCACCCCTGAGCGTCGAGAGCCTGAGTCTAGCTTTGACCTTGAGCTTGAGCCTAGAGCTGCTGTCCGTGCTCGTGTTCCTCGTGTTCGTCGTCCGCGTGCTCCGGGTGTCCCCGGCACTCACGATATGACACTCCGTCCTTCCTCTATTCCTCAGCGTGTTGTCCTACCGTTACCTCCTGCGTCCTCTTTGCATGACGTTGCTGACCCTCCGTCTGACCTGCTCGTGCGTCCAGACCGTCTGTTACTCGCCTTCTTGCTACGGTTGTGACGGACCCTACGTTCTCGTCTCCTGCTGCGTCTGCCCCAGTAGCTGAACTCGTTGACTTTGCTGCTGTGTACTGCCCTTGGCTGTGACGTTCTTGAGGACAGACAGGAGGAGCTGGAGTGCCTTGCTGCCGCTTCACCCTATCACACGACCATGCTGCTTGCCCCTGAGGGAGACCCGGATGCACTTGACATCCCCACCCCGCGCTCTTACAGAGAGGCGATTTCGGGTGAGTACTCCTCTCAGTGGCAGACAGCCATGGACGCAGAGATGGCTTTCTAGAAGTCCACAGGCACCTACGTCGACGAGGTTCCCCCACTTGGGGCGAACATCGTCAGTGGCATGCGGATTTTCAGGGTGAAGCGGCCGCCAGGTTCTCCGCCTGCCTTCAAGGCACGTTACGTTGCTCGAGGCTTCAGTCAGCGTGAGGGGGTCGAATTCTTTCAGACCTTCTCCCCCACCCCGAAGATGACCACTCTTCGGGTGTTGCTACACGTTGCAGCTCAGCGTGACTACGAGCTGCACTTCCTCGACTTCTCGACAACTTTCTTATAGGTTAGCCTTCACGAGGCCATTTGGTTGCGCCGTCCACAAGGCTTCACTGGGTCGTTTCCTGAGGGTACCCAGTGGAGCCTACGGCGACCAGTGTACGGCCTGCATCAGGCGCCCCGCGAGTGGCACGACACACTGAGGACGACACTTGCGGCTCTTGAGTTTGCTCCTTCGACTACTGACCCGTCGCTGTTTCTACGGACCGACACTTCTCTGCCGCCGTTCTACATCCTCGTGTACGTTGACGACTTGGTTTTTGCTACTGCTGACACTGAGGCACTGGCCCTAGTGAAGGCGGAGCTGCAGGAGAGACACACCTACACTGACCTGGGTGAGCTGCGGAGCTATCTTGGCTTGCAGATCACCCGGGACAGAGCACGGCGCACCATCACCCTGACTCGGTCACACATGGTGCACCAGGTCCTTCACCGCTTCTGCTTCACGTACTCCTCGCCACAGCCCACTCCTCTGGCTACCGGCCACTCGCTCTCAGCTCCACCTTCGGACGAGTCCGTAGAACCGAGTGGTCCGTACCCAGAGCTTGTGGGCTGCCTCATGTACCTGATGACGTGCACACGACCTGACCTCGCGTACCCTCTCAGCTTTCTCGCTCGCTACGTGGCACCCGGTAGACACCAAAAGGTGCACATTGATGCTGCGAAAAGGGTACTGCGTTACTTGTGCAGCACATCGGGCATGTGGCTCGTGCTTGGAGGACGGGGTTCGGTGGTCCTCACAGGACACTCTGACGCTTCTTGGGCCGACGACCAGGCGACTCAGCGTTCGTCACAGGGTTACACCTTCAGTCTTGGCTCTGGTTCTGTCTCGTGGAGGTCCACTCGTTCTTCTTCTGTGCTTGGTTCCAGCTGTGAGGCCGAGATCTACGCTGGGGCCATGGCTGCACAGGAGCTCCGCTGGCTGACCTACCTGCTTACCGACTTGGGGGAGCGGCCTCGTTCTCCTCCAGTTCTGTACGTCGACAACAAGGCAATGCTTGCCTCGAGCAGAGACTAGAGCACAGAACGAAGCACATTGCTCTGCGCTACTTCCTTGCGCGTGAGCTGCAGCAGCGTGGTCAACTGCGCCTTGTTTTCGTGGCCTCTCGGGCCAACACTGCTGATGTGTTCACCAAGGCCCTTGGGGCTGGTGATCATCAGCGTTTTTGCACTGCTCTTGGGCTTGTGCCCACTCTGCCTCACCTGCTGGTTGCTTGACTTGCTCTTGTTGTACATTGCTATATATCTTTATACCTGCATGTTTACTCTTGCGAGGTTGTGATCTGTATACTGCCTTGCTATTATAAATCTGCATGTGAACTGGCCTTGTGGCCGCCTGCTTGTGCTCAGATTGTGTGGTGTCCTTGAGATCCACCATGGGCTTTGCCTTGCTTGTTCTCTTGCTTGACTGGTCTTGTGATCACTGTTAGGTTTGGCTATCCCCTACTTCACCTATGGGGGTGTGTCAAAACATATTGTTCTGTTCATTTCACTCTAGGTTGTGTAGGGGTCACACCTTAGAGGGTACAACCCAACTTTCTCGATAGTCTTGTACCCCCTCCCTCTTACCTAACACACATTCCTTCCTAGTATTCTAACACATAAGCAGCATTATAGTTTGACAAGTAGCATATATACATACAGTTTATTTAGGAAATACAGAGGAATGCGAAACGACCTAGACGAGCCATGTACTCTAAGAAGTACATTCCCTTATTACAGCGAATTCAAACCGTGTGGCGCGGGAACCTGTTTCAAACCTGTTTCCCCTCTTTCCATTTCAAAGGCTTCTGCTTGCGTCGGTCCTGGTCAGATGGTTGATGGTGTCGCTTCGACTCTTCTGACTCCTCGACTTCGTACTCGGTAGAGTCAGCTCCTGCAGCTCCTGCTCGTTGAATTTCATATCGTAATAGGAGCAATGTGGCCAGCTTCCGAAGCTAGAGAACAATCAAGCGAGTTGTGGATAAGTTCTGAAAATGTGAAGGCGGAGGAACGATCTCATACTTTCTAAAGTGGATTCAGTATTCTAAGGGTTTTATTTATGTACTGAGTACTTCCTCGAACAGACCCAATGCAGTAACGCTCGACGAAACCAACAATTCGCCAAACCAACAAATACGCCCATAAAACGTAGCCTGTGACGTAGGTATGTGAAGTTTTTTCGAAGCGCCATATCTCATTTTCATCTACAACTAAACCGCAAAAGCATGCCCAACGAGATTTGATATTTTTCTGCTGCGATGCCACGTAAACTCCGTAGAAGCGCGCCGAGAAGTCTGTCTGCATGCACGCCGCGGCGGAACGCACCCACGCGCAGCAATGGTCGCTCTCGTCTGCCTCCTCCGCGCGACTCCCGGCGCGCATTGCCAACCCTCCGCGCCTTTCCGAACCTCCTCGCGTCTCCAACCCTCCGTGCTTGAAAGACCCGCCCCGGCGGACTGCCGCTCCGCCGTCCGCGCCGTCCGCCACTTCCGCGCCATCCGGGGGCTTTCCCGGGGACTCCGCACCAGCCCCGCGTCCCCTTATGGCGCAGAGCGCGGCGGAGAGGGGCGTGCGTGCGGTGTAAGAGGCTCTGTCAGCGCGCGAGAGGCGCAAGTTGCGCGCCGCGCTGTTCCCCCTACGAGCGCGCGCGGCGGAGTCGGCGAGCGCGGTGTGGCAGGAGAGCTGGGGGGTGGTGGCGCGCCTCGTTGCTGCGGAGTTGGTGCGCGCAGCCCCGCGTGCTCGCGCCTCCCCACACCACTCCCTCCCTCTCTCTTGCCCTAGCTCTACCCCCACCTTTCTCTCCCCCACATTTACCCCCCCAGCACTCTCACTCCACTTTTTTCCCCCCACCTTTGTCCTCTCACCTCTCTCCCCGCACCTCTCCCCACCTGTCTCCCCCCACCACTCTCCCTCCTTCTCCCCACCCCACATTACTCCCCACCTCCGCACCACACCACCCTCCTGCTGCCCCGTCGCCTCCTTGTTCAGCCCCTCCCGCTATCCACCCTCTCCTCCCCTTCCCGGCCCCCCTCCCCCCTGCTTGATGTGAAGGTCTGAGCCCAATCCCTTCCCTTCTCCCCCCCCCAACCATCGCCCCTCTCCCCGCCTCCCTTCCCCGCATCCGTCTCCGCCTCCCCCTTTCCAGGGTGAACCGGACACAGGGGAGGAACAAGGGGGGGGGCGGGCGGGGGGGCGCAGAGGAGCGGGTTGTGATGCGGAAGCACATGGGGTTGGGGAGAGAGGACGGAAGGAGGCAAGACGGCTGCGAATGGAAGAGCAGAAGCAGGTGTTAACTGTGGTGGAGGTGTTATCTGAGGGCGGGGAGAGGCGCAGTGGCGGCGGGGGAGGTGGAGGAGCTGGTGTGGGCGGCGTTCGTGAAGAGCCACCAGGCTGTGCTCTCCCCGGAGCACTGGACCAGCTTCGTCCCTCTGCTGCTCAAACTGGTACGCCTCGCACTGGTGTGGTAGGTGTTGTGTTGCTTTGGTGGTTGATTGAATCACTGGCAAGAGCTGGACGACACATGCTAGCAACGAGCTGATTCAATCCCCGCATGGATTCTGAATAAACCACACGCCCTCCCGTTTGTTCTTCTGTGTCACGATTTCATCCACCTGCCCACCCGTGCACCGTCAGGTGGCGAGGCACGGAGCGCTGCTATTGGGCAAGCGCAGCAACGGGCGGCTGGCGAAGAACACGACGCACTGGCTGCTGCACTGCGCTGTCTTCGCTGCCCACGCTGCCGTGCGCGAGAGGGCGCTCGTGGGACTGCTGCTCCTCATCGCCGTACGCCGCCCTCCTGCCCTCCTGCCCTCCTTCCCGCTTGTCTGCCTGCCTGCCGGCCTGCCTGCCGGCCTGCCTGCCTGCCTGCCTGCCTGCCTGCCCGCCCGCCCGCCCGCCCGCCCGCCCGCCCGCCCGCCCGCCCGCCCGCCTGCCTGCCTGCCTGCCTTAGCAACTTCTCCGTCCCTCTCTTCCTCTCCCTCCCTCTCCCTCCCTCTCCCTCCCTCTCCCTCCCTCTCCCTCCCTATCCCTCCCTCCCTCCCTCCCTCCCTCCCTCCCTCCCTCCCTCCCTCTCTCCCTCCCTCCCTCCCTCCATCCCTCCCTCCCTCCCTCTCTCCCTCTCTCCCTCTCTCCCTCCCTCCCTCCCTCCCTCCCTCCCTCTCTCCCTCTCTCCCTCCCTCCCTCCCTCCCTCCCATCCTCCCTCTCTCCCACCCTCCGTCCCTCCCTCCGTCCCTCCCTCCCTCCCTCCCTCCCTCCCATCCTCCCTCCCTCCCTCCCTCCCTCCCATCCTCCCTCCCTCCCTCCCTCCCTCCCTCCCACCCTCCCTCCCTCCCTCCCTCCCTCCCTCCCACCCTCCCTCCCTCTCTCCCGCCCAACCTCCCACCGGTCCTCTCTCCCTGCCCCCAGGTCCTGATGCAGCGCTGTCCCTGTCGCACCCCGCTCACTCCCACGCATCCATGGGCAGCACCCATGGGCAGCATCCATGGGCAGCATCCATGGGCAGCACCCATGGGCAGCATCCATGGGCAGCACCCATGGGCAGCACCCATGGGCAGCATCCATGGGCAGCATCCATGGGCAGCACCCATGGGCAGCATCCATGGGCAGCACCCATGGGCAGCACCCATGGGCAGCATCCATGGGCAGCACCCATGGGCAGCACCCATGGGCAGCACCCATGGGCAGCATCCATGGGCAGCACCCATGGGCAGCACCCATGGGCAGCATCCATGGGCAGCACCCATGGGCAGCACCCATGGGCAGCATCCATGGGCAGCATCCATGGGCAGCACCCATGGGCAGCATTCATGGGCAGCACCCATGGGCAGCACCCATGGGCAGCACCCATGGGCAGCATCCATGGGCAGCACCCATGGGCAGCATCCATGGGCAGCATCCATGGGCAGCACCCATGGGCAGCATCCATGGGCAGCATCCATGGCACAAAGCTGTTCCGTGATGCCAAGCCACACCGTGTCAATCCACGCCGCCCGCTCTGCTCGCTCCCTCACTGCCCACCGCCTGCTGCTGTTTCCGTGCACCCCAGTTTTCTTCTCCGCTTCCCTTTCCCCTTCTCTCTTACCCCCACCCACCCACCCACACCCCCTGCAGGACTCAGTGAGGGAGAGTGGGACAGTCGCTGCCATCACCGTCTCCCTCACCCTCTCCTCTATCGACCTCCTCACTCGCCCCTGCACTCCCCTCTACCCTCCTCACTCCCCTTCCTCGATCCTCCCCCCCTCTCCCGACTCGCCCGTCCCCACGCATCCGGCTGTGGAGTTCATCCAACCCACTCACCCCACTCTTCCTGCTCCCGCTGCTCTCAAGCCTCCTCCGGGATGGAAAGGAGGGGCGCTCACAGCAGGTGGTGCTGCTGATGGTGCTTTTGCACCTTACGGTGATTATCAGCAGCAGCAGCAGCAGCATCAACGGCATCGTCGGTCCTTCTCTCTTGCTCCTGACGCTCTCAGCAGCCACACAGCAGCATCCTTCTCCCCCTTACCCCCTCCTCCTGGCTCTGCCGCCGCCACTGCTGTTAGGGATGGTTCGATGAACCACGAAAGCTACGGCGAGATGCGGAATGACGGCGGAATGGAGTGCGTGGGAGATTTTAGATCTAAGACGGTGGAAATCGACCTACGGTGGAGAATAGAAGCTACGGCGTGAGAAGCGGGAAGGAAATCGAGAAGGAATGTGCAGGAAGGAAGAATAGAGAAGGAGAAGCATCAAGAATGAGATCGACGGGGGAAATTGTGGTTCAAGCTTGAGGCGCGTTCGAGAAGGTTCGAGATTCGGACTCAAAGAATGTTCGGTGCATTCGGTTCGGTTCCGTGTGCGACTCGGGGTGAAACGAGGCACACGCGGTTACTTGGGAAACAAGTGAAGTTACGAATCGCATTTTGTGTCTTGCCTGACCATAAAACTGCTTGTACTCATTCTGGAAATCACAACATTGGACAACATTGAGATTCTGAAATTGCTGAAGTGTGTATTGACAACTTCAAGCAGAGCTGCGCATATCGTTGGATTTGGGAGATCGTGGAGAACACGATAAGCAATAGCAAGTAGACTATTGCCGACTAAGGTGTTTACGATCCTAAGAACTGGTCTTTTAGCGGTCGAAAAAACTTCGCGTGTAAACGGGCTCTGATTACCAAGTGTGAGGATCTAGGATCGAGCTCAGAAAAGATGATTTGAATTGAATGATCACCTGGGTACAACACGAGGCTATATATAGGCTCGACACAAGGCCCCGTAACCAGGTGTTACGCGAAGGTTCCGCGGGTCGCGAAGCGTCCCGAACAGATCCTTCCCGAATTCGGTAGAAGGCAATTCGGTGGCAACCAAAAAGCCAGAATTCGGTGCACGCAACCTAGCTCGGTGCTATAACTATAATAAAATATAGGAAAGCACCTAGCCTAGGAAATCACGCAATTCATGCGTGCATATAATTATCCTATGCTAGAAATAGCATGATAAAGTAAAGGCAAGCAAGCATAGCTGGCATAAGCCGTCGTACTCTCACACTAGAGGTGCTGCTGGTGCTGGAGGCCGTGGAGCTGCTGGTGCTGGAGGTGCTGGAGGTGCTACTGGTGCTAGAGGTGCTAGGGGTACTGGAGCTGCTAGTGCTTCTGGTGCTGGAGGTGCTAGAGGTGCTGGAGCTGCTGGGGCTGGAGGTGCTGGAGGTGCTGGAGGTCCTGGTGGAGCTATTGGTGCCCTTCGCCACCTTCTCAGTCTTCAGCCAGGTGCTGCTGGCTTCCCTGTGGCAGGTACTACTCTTCCGTTGATGTGTCCACTGGAGGACCATACACAGCCGCCACTGCTACCACACTCCCCACTGCCTGCTCCTGCTCCTTCAACTGCGGTTTCAGAGTCCCTGACTGAGGGCGAACTGGTATCAGAGCTTGGCGAACGGGCTCGTCGATCGCGGTGAATTCACTTGGTGCGCTAAGTGAAATTAGTGGAGAAGAGGAGTCGTTCACGCCTACGCCATGGGAGACGAGGCGAGTTCGGGTTCCAGTGTGAGTCTTGGAGACCCGCAGTTGAAGGCTCTTCTCGAGGCCCTTGCGAGTGGCCGATTGGTGGCGAAACCGACGATCGGGCTCAGTGAAGCCCAGCTCTTCAACGGAAGCAACTGCAACGTGTGGCGGAAGAAGTTTATTCGGAGGGCAGAGGAGGTTGACCTCTTGCCGTACTACCGTCCCGACGAGGAGACGATGGAGGGAGTTGCGCCATCCCCGACGGATACGAAGGAGAAAATAGCGGCGTTCAAAAAACAAAGTAAGCAAGCGTTCTTTCAGCTTTGTCACTCAGTTGCCGATGGAATCGCGGTGGATTTGGACCAGTTTGCAGGGGAGCTGAACTCTGCACAGCGAGCGTGGGAGTACCTGAAGTCCACGTACATGGGTACGAACGATGTCAACAAGAAGGCGATTAGGAAGCAACTGCTGATGCTGAGCATGGAGAAAGGCGAGAAAATCATCACCTACATCAACAGGGCGAAAAACTACAACGACGACTTGCGGGTGATGGGAGCCGCGGAGACGGAGCAGGAGATGATTGACTATATCATCCAAGGCCTTCCTAAGGAGTGGGAATCCGACATCGGTATGTTTACGTACCAACCGCCGGAGAGTTTGACGAAGCTGCAGGAGATTCTGCAATCGCTTGAGACGGTGAAGGAGATGAGGAAAAAGAAAGCGGCAGCAGCAGCGGAATTAGACGAGGAGAGGTCGGCTATGGTGAATGCGACAAAGGCGTTTGGAGCGTGCTACCAGTGTGGAAAGAGGGGGCATAAGGCGATATACTGCTACGAAAATCCGCGAAGCAGGAACTACAAAGGCAAAGCGTTGGAGAACGATAAAGGAGAAAATGGGGGAGCGGAGTGGCAGCAGAAACGGGGTTTTGGCGGCAAGTGCGACTATTGTGGGCGCTATGGACATCGTGCCGCAGAGTGCTACTCCAACCCGAATAGCAGGAGCTACAAGGGTCCGTCGCAGCAGAGGAATGTGGCGGCAAAGGCGAATGTAGCAGAAGCGGAAAAGGAAGATGTGATTTTTGGAGGAGCGCATCTTGCGAACGTGGTGCGTTTACCAAAGGAGGTTCGGCAGACGGACGATCGTGAGAAGACGGCATGGTTCATGGACAGCGGATGCACGCGTCACATGACATTCAGGTCAGATTGGATGGAGAATGTGAGGGACTCGAGTGAGGATTATATACTGCAAGGTAACAGCGGGAAGTTGCCAGTGACAGGAGAGGGTGACGTGGTGCTGCAGAGTCCGTATGGAGAGGTGAAACTGGACAGTGTGCTGCTGGTTGAGGATTTAAAGGTGAATTTGGTCAGTCAGTCACAGCTTGATGACTTGGGGTGCAAGATATTTTATGACAGTGGAAAGGTTACAATGTTTGGCCCAGAGTGGGAGAAGTACGCAGAGGGTTACTTCAGTGACGGATTTTATGAGATGAACGTGATAGCGACGAATGATATGGATGAGATCTATGAGGATCCTGAGTATGGTGAAATGGGAGAATTGGAGAAGTTATCGACTAAGGTTGATGAGAGTGAGGACACGGATGATACGGCAGCGAGTGTGGAGGCAGCAGTGAAGCAGAAAGAGGAGATAGTCGCCATGGAGGCAGCAGCAGTGAATGGTGGAGATGGAGTTGGTGTCAACACTTTTGCAGCAGCGATCGTGGTTGAAGATGAAGCAGTAAATGAGAAGTATATGGGAGTTGAAGCTGTGAAAGGGGACATCCTGGTGAAGGGATCAAAGGAGAAAGCAACTGCAAAGGGGCGAGTGCTTACGAAGGAGGAACACGTTGAGGGGTACGAGACCCGAGAGGTGTTGGGTGTTAAGATGCCGAGGAGAAGTGAGAGGCTTAAGAAAATGTCTCAAGGTTTGGACGTCAAGGCGCTCAAATTCAAGACACGTAAGGAGAGGTTCAAAGTGGAGGACCTGCAGGAGAGCTTGAAGCCGACTTAGACCCTGTGAAGGCTACAAGAAGCAGGGGAGGAGTGCGAGTGGAGTTCGTGGTTGACGAACCACAGGGGAGATTGTTAGGGTTGGTTCGATGAACCACGAAACCTACGGCGAGATGCGGAATGACGGCGGAATGGAGTGCGTGGGAGATTTTAGATCCCCCTTGCCTGAGATTGTTAGGGTTGGTTCGATGAACCTCTTGCCTGCGTGGCCCTCGCTGCCTCGCACCCCCTCCGCCCTGCTTCTGGCGTCTCCTCTTTCACCCCCGCCTGGGACCCCTCCTCTCTACCTTTTTCCTGCCCGCCCTCCTTGGAATCTGCTTACTCTGCCGCCTGCCCGCCTAATATGGCGCCTGCTCCTGCTGCACTACCAGCTATAGCCCAATCCGTGCAGCTTGGCTCGGCAGCGGTGTTGGATCCGGCCGGTATAGGTCCGGCAGGGCTGCCTGTAGACGAGCCCAGGACAGGTCCGGGGAGACCCGGGAGGTTTGGCAGACGAGGAACGGAAGGGTGGGGGAAAGGGAGGATAGTGGAGGAGGGGACGGAGGATATGAGTGAGAACTCTTGGGAAGATGAACGGGGGAATAGGGCTATGAGGAGAGATGGAGAAGGAGCAGAAGGAGGGGAAGAAGCACAAGGACAAGGGTGGAGTAAGCAGCGCGAGTGGGACAAGGAGCATGATGAACGGTTCAGAGCGGTGGTGAGGATGCTGGGGTCGGGCACGCAGGGCAGGAGGTTGCTGGGAGCCGTGGGGCTGGGCGAGCAGGTGCTGGCAGACCTGGCGAGGCGGTGGCGGTGGCGCGAGGTGAAGGCGCTCTCTGCCGTGCTGCGCCATGCTGTGGACGCATGGCAGGAGCATGCTGACATGGTGAGTGGCAGGATTGAGCATGCCTCACTCACATTGATTGATGCCTCACTCACATTGATTGATGCCTCACTCACATTGATTGATGCCTCACTCACATTGATTGATGCCTCACTCACATTGATTGATGCCTCACTCACATTGATTGATGCCTCACTCACATTGATTGATGCCTCACTCACATTGATTGATGCCTCACTCACATTGATTGATGCCTCACTCACATTGATTGATGCCTCAATTACACCCATGCGTCACACCCACCATGCCTCCATCGCATCTACCATCCAATGTGCCCCTCACTCAACCCCACTTGCTTCGCCTTGCCTCCCTCTCTTCCCACCCCAAGTCGTCAGTGCTCTCGTGTCAAATCAAGCTTAGCCGTCCCATTTCCCTCCCCTTTGGCCCCGGCTCCCCCCGGGCAGGCACGTTGGGGTACCAGCAGAAGGAGAAGGTGGACTATAAGGAGTTGTTTGCTCCTGTGGTGAAGCAGACGACGCTGCGAACCCTACTCGCGGGAGCTGCCATCAAAGGATGGGTGGTGAAACAAATGGATGTCACAACGGCATTCCTCAATGGCGTCCTTGAGGAAGAGATTTTCATGGCGCAGCCAGAGGGGTTTGATGATGGTAGTGGCAGAGTTTTGAGGCTGAAGAAGGCCCTTTATGGACTGAAGCAGGCCCCTAGGCAGTGGTACTTGAAGCTGCGAGGAGTTTTGGATGAGATCGGCTTCACTCCCTCAACGGCCGATCACTCATTGTTCATGCTTGGCGAGGGGGAGCAGAGGAGCTTCATGGTGGTGTACGTGGATGACATCCTCATCTTTTCACCCTCATCTGACCTTGTGAAGGAGGTGATGCTGAAGCTTCAGGACAAGTTTAAGTGTAAGGCCCTTGGTGACGTCAACTTCTACCTTGGGCTTCACATTGAGCGTGATGTGGAGAAGCGGTGCATGCGGGTGCATCAACGGAAGTACCTGGAGGCATTGGCTGCCAACTTTGGGCAGAGTGAAGGCCATGTGGCTACACCCTTTCCCTCTGGTTTCAAGTGTGTGAAGGGACCAGAGGAGGAGAGCGTTGGTGAAGAGGAGAGGCGCCGTTTTCACTCGTTGGTGGGCAGCCTCATGTACGCGGCGGTAAACACCCGACCGGACGTCGCGTTTGCTACCGGACAGTTGGCTAGGGTTGTTCAATGCCCTAATGAGGAGCAGGTAGCAGCTGGAATGAGAGTGGCCAAGTATCTTGGCCAAACACCGACCGTTGGGCTGCAATATTCGGCGGCGGCGCAAAGGCGCCAAAAGGGCGCGGATGGTGTTGAACCCGGGCGTTTGTTCCTCACCGCATTCTCGGATGCTTCTTTTGCATCAGAACCAGAGGACATGACAAGTGTTGGAGGGTTCATTTGCTGTGTTGGTGGAGGCCCAACTGCTTGGGAGAGCAAGAAGCAGGTGGATCAAGCATTGAGCTCGGTGGAGTCCGAGTATATGGCACTCTTCCGTGCCGTACGAGAGATTGTGTGGCAGCGGCATTTGTTGGCTGAATTGGGGGAGGAGCAGCAAGGACCTACCCCACTCTACTGTGACAGCCAGGGTGCCATTGCTCTTGCTAAGAACCCTGTGTTGCATGGCCTCACCAAGCACATGAGGGTGAAGTGGCATTGGACGAGGAGCATGGTGGCCGCGGGTGAAGTTGAGTTGCACTATGTGAAGACGACAAGGCAGCCAGCTGACATGATGACCAAGAGGCTGGTGGAGCAGCAGCATTGGAAGTGTTGCAAGCTGGCTGGGATGGCTCTGAACTGAGAGAGCAAGATCCTAAGGCCAACAATCTGAGGGGGAGTTTGTTGGTGCAACCCTACGGTTTGCATTCGGCTTGTTGTCCGTGTGCGTGCATGCGTGTGTGCATGGAATGGTATGAGGGCATGAAATAATATATATTTCATGTTTACAATAGTGTGTGTATGATGAAGCATGATTTTGAATGTGTGCGTCGAGTCAATAGCGAGTTATCGCTAGTCGCGTGTCACGTCGTCGTTTGCGTGTCGTGTGCGGTTTTCTATTTTATCGTGTGTGGAACGTTCGGCGTGTCGCAGGTGTGCGCAGCAGACTTCCAAGAACTCAAGGAAGAATTTACCTTGAAGAACCAGAGCCTTGGTTTCAAGATTCAAGTTATTTCGAAGCTCTCCAAAAGGGTAAACTTTAAGATAGTGAGAATAGTTGCATTACTTTGTGTAGTGTAACATTTCTCTTGGTGTAGGCCCTTGTGGAGGGTAGTTTCGAGACCCTTCGTGGTTGGGGACAGTGTGGCACTGTTCCACATCACTGTACCTCGGCTCTTGGGGTTTGTAGGAGCTGGGAGTCATTCCCAACTCGTAACTCTTCCTATCTTGTGTTCTAAGACTATAGTGGCTGCCATAGTACCGTTCGTTCAAACCGACGCTGTGTCGTCAATTCTTTATGAAATCGTGCAATCTAAATTGCGTATTGTAGGCGACGTCAAGACGCTCCAGATACAATTTGAATCAAGTCATTTGCAGCTGTGAGCAGAACGCTATCAACGTTTGAAGCCGCTGTGCAGAAATCCGTCTGTGCACTCTATCTTTCGTTTTAGGCACATTCAAGGCTATTGTGACTATAACAGAGGAGTCGAGCACAATCGTACGAAGGGAACAAGGACAAGCTCGAAGGGAAGGGGCGACGAGCAGTGAGATGCGGAGGCACCCTAACGAGAGAATGGTGTGCCAGGCTTCGGTTCTGATCGCAGAAAAAGGAAGCCTGACGGTGGGAGGACTACCAGTGGGGCAAGGGATCATCGATATTGGCGCCGATCACGTCATCATCGAGAAGGGCCTGGCGAAGCAGCTGCGGCTCGACCTGTCAGAGATGCAAGTGGAGAGGGGCATCCTCTTAATGACGGCGGAAGGAGGGGAGCCGAAGTGGATGCCCAGCACTAAGAGGCCCGTGGAGATCATGCTACTACCACGCACGGAGAAAGAATGCTGCATTCGTCTGAAGTGCGAAGCGTCGCAGTCCGAAGATTATGATGTGTTGGTGGGGATGGAGCTCCTGTACAAGGTGGGGGCAATGATGTGCACCTGGCAAGAGAAGGTGCTGTACTGAGTGCAATATTGGGACACAGAAAGCTCTGTAGGAACCTTGCCGGTGCGGTTCGTGAAGCAGGAACCCCGAGCGGCCTACAAAGCGGAGGAAGCAGACCTGGGAGGAGTACCCTGAAGAAGGCCAGAGGAGGATTGAGTTGTACGAGGCAGGGAGGAGGGTAACCGACTCGAAGGAGCGTGTGAGCAAGATGTGGTGCATGCACAGGGCCTTGTGCATCCTAGAGCTGTATGGGGACATCGGGACTGGCCTAGCGGCCGCACTGAAGGCATGGTGCTTCGTGGGGCGATGGATACACGTGGAAAGGGACCCCGCAGTCAAGCTACTGGGAGAATACCCGCAGCAGATGTTGATCACGGCCATCCCAACAGAGGAAGAGGCGACTGTGCACGATGTGAGAGACATCACCAAGCAGGTGCTGGAGAGGTGGGGGCCGATCGACCTGGTGGTAGTCGGATGGGAGTGCCAAGGATACTCGAGAGCCGGGGAAGGAAGGGGAATGGAGGACCCTCGAGGAGCGTCGTTTTGAGACCTGGAGAGGGTGTTGCGCATGGTCCAGCAGAAGGAGAGCGAGGTGGTCTTCATCCTGGAAAATGTGGACATAGTGGATGACAAAAGGGAGCCGGTGAATCGAGCGTTCGAGGAAATACAAGAGGTGCTAGGCAGAGGAGTGCCGGTCGACGCGGCACAACTGGGGTCTAGAGCTCACCCGCCGAGGAGGTATAGGCAGAATGGGGTGTCAGACGCCCTTCTGCGGCATTCGTTGGCCCAGATGCAGAGACCGCACCCTCGGCTAGTTAAAGACATCCTGGGGCCCAATCAAGTACCAGCACCGGTGACGGTCGAGGACCATCCATCCCAGTCAGTGTAATGTACCAGGGGAGCCCAAGAGAGCGTGGCCGACCCTGGCCTTGTTTGCCGACGCGAGGGGCTTTGTAATGGAGGGCAACTTGCCGGGCCCGGGGATGGTCTACGACTCACGCGCATGAAGATGGGCAGCACCGACGGCGGAAGAAAGAGAGCTAGCGATGGGGCATAAGTGGGGAGCAACAGCTCACCCGGAAGTGACTGAGGCACAGAGGAGAGCCGCCTTAGGGAGAGCGTTGGACCTGAACGTGATGACCTGGATTATTGAAACCATCCGCATGCATATGAAGACAAAGGCAGTGCAACGAGAACGTGATGGTAGCCTGCGCTACCAAGACGAGAGGGAAGCAGCGTCGAGGAGGCAGCAACTGGAGAGTATCGAGGCACAGCGCACCGAGAGGATGATGGAAGAATGATCCTTCATGGCGATAGAAGCGGGCCAGAGAGGCGGAGCCGGAGCGACGGAAGGGGCAGAGACCGGAGTCAAGGAGACATAGGGAACCGAAGGGGCTGACCGGGAGATCGGCAGGGGCTGGGGGCAGCCGCGGCCGCAGCATTGAAGGAAGTCCTGCAGGAGCACCGGGGCACGTTTGCGTTCATGCTGAAGGAGCTCGGCTGGTGCAATGTGCAAGAGATGCGCATAGTGCTCAGCAGTGACACGCCCGCATATCACCGTAAGAGAAGAATGAGCCCCCTCATACCTTGGGTCTGTCATAGTCCCAACCCCCACTGACAGATCCTCGCTAAGGGCAGTACTGGGGTTCCTCGGGTATTATAGACGGTTCGTACCAAACTTCAGTAGGAAGGCTGCCGTGCTGAATAAGGTGTTACGGGAGGGGGAGAAGTGGCAGTGGGGAGAGGAAGAGCAGAAGGCGTTGACGCAGCTGACACAGGCCGTAAGGTCGGCAACGGTCCTAGCATTGCCGAGCAAGGAGGATCCGTTCGTGTTGTACACGGACTGGAGTAGCACTGGGATGGGGGCGATCCTATGCCAGGAGAAGGACAAGGAAGAAAAAGTGGTGGCTTTCACGAGTCGCAGCTGCAATCCTGCCGAGGCGAATTACAGCTCGTATGAGGGGGAAGGATTGGCAGCCGTATGGGCAATCACGCACTTCCGCATGTATCTCCAAGGAAGGCCGTTCACGCTAGTATACGATCATCAGCCGCTGACGTGGCTGAGGACTAACCAAGGGCTCACGGGGAGGAACGCCCGATGGGCCATGAGGATACAAGAGTATGACTTCACTATTAAGCACCGGCCGGGAAAGAACATGCAGCACGTAGATGGGCTTTCTCGGAATCCAGCCTTAGAGAGACCTACCGCGTACCTCGTGGCGATGGCTAAAAAGATTGACCAGGAAGGAGCGAGGAAGGGAAAGGAGAGAGGGTTGGAGGACGT